TAATATATAAAGTAGTTCTGTTAATTTCAGACAAATTAGACAAACGAACATGTTGGGATTCGCGTCCGCATCCATACAGCGGCAGAGCCATCCGGTCCAACATCTATAACGATATCCGGTCATTTCATTATAATGACAGTTTGTCACTGGTTTCATGCCACGTGTTATGTAATAAAGTAGCTTTCTAAAATACACCAATCAATAATCGACTGTGTACATGTAAGGATTCGCGATCTGGTCACGATCAATCTGTACCACAGCCAATACTTACTATAATTATGATATTCTAAAATTGACAAGATTCTTGCTGTGTTCAAACTGGTTTGTGAGGCATATCTGCAGTGTGTATAAATAATCCGTAGTTTATGTGTACTTTGCTATCAGCCTTCAAAAATATTGTCTAGAAATGGGAATTATTCACTGAAATTGTTTGTTTTGTCTGGCCATTCTAAATTGTATCTATTTGAAATACGATACTGATTTCAGGTATCAAACCAAATAAGAATAATATTATTGGAACAATTTCTAACATGTTGCCTTTTTACAAGTTATTTCATGCTGATAAGAGTGCTTTTTGCAAGAATTAAGTTTTTTGTGACACATCAATTGTCATACATATCTGTATTGAAGTATATCTGTGGTATTTTTCACCAAAATGGCAAATGATTATGAAGTATACATAACAAAATATGTTTACATTCAGGCCAATATCACGTCCCGTGAGAATAGTTCACAGGTGTTGGGGACATGCATGGTCAAATTCCAAAAATTATTGTAACCGGAGATGAGATACAAGAGGTTAAATGCCCCATTTTTTAATGATGGGCTGTGCGCTATTCCTTTTATTATACCGATATTACCAAGGTATGAAGAACAGGGTGCGCTAATTGTCTGTAACAAAATTATTGTGTGCTCATACTTAAATTTTGTAAACTATTTTGGAAGCCCCTGATTTCGGAGGTTAGTAACTGACCGCTCAGAGGCCTAGAATTCTTCTAGAGGTGTAATAATCTACAAAATACATGTAGCAACCTTCTCCCTCCACAACCCCCCCCTTAACCAACCCACCTTCCTACGATGATTTTCACAATTGTTGGCTTAGCGTGTCGAGATGTTACCTTCAAGATACCAAAGGCAAATCTGGGAGGCTGCTACTTTACCTCATTGTCTATCTCAGAATTGTCTATCACAGCTGATACTACATGGATAGACATGCTATTACACTGGATGTTCGAGTTGTAAAGTCCAATTAACTGCCGACAACAGTGCATGTGATATTTTGTGTTTTTTTCGGTGATCTGTTGGCTCCAAGCATTTTTGAATCCAAATTGGCGTTTTTCACATTTTTGAGACTTTCATAGGTTATCAAGGCATTGGGATGTGGGTTAGAATGCTAGAAAAGAGCGGTTGCTTTAGGGATATCAGTACCGTTTACTTAGGAATGGTGGTGAAAAGTCGCATTTTTGCTTATTGTAATAGGCCATAATTGTGCAGGCACCACCAGAGAGATAGTTGGCCACATGGAAATAAATGTCGATCCAAGTTTGACGCCACACGACAGTGTCAATCCATTGGGGATACGTACCCTGTCAAAGAGCTTTGAACATGAAAATCAGGCAAATTGCTCAACATCAGACAATTGTGCACCCTCTGCACATGTGTAAAGGCAAAAGTGGAATCAATTTATGTGATCGTCAAATTTACGAAGTATGTCGTCAAGGAAATTTGCAATGTCAAATGTCAAGCCTGGATTAAAAGAAAAGAAAATATGCCAACCTGTTGTAGAACCCTCTTTCGTCAGATTGTTAAGGAAACGTTCTACTTAATCCAGCCTTAATTTGTAATCGCTTTACCGGCAGAACGCTACTGTTTAGCGTTCCCTTTAAATTTATGTTTTGCAATTTGGTTTGTAAAATTTTGTTAACAGCAAACTGCAGCAGCAAAGTAGATAAGTAAAGAGCTTTGGATCAATCATATTTGGCAGCTCCGTGAAGAAGGGGAGTGTGGTGGTGGTGTATAAAAAACATATAAAAGAAATAAATTTTGGTTCCCCAAAGTCGCTAGAATTAAGGAGAGAAAGTCATCTGCTTTTAGCGTATTTTGCCTCGACATTTTTTGTAGTGTTAATTGTGAGTGAATATAACAATTTGTGACCTTGTGACCTCTATATCTTTCGTGTATGAAACCAGCGTCGTATGTTCGTAGGATAGTGTGCATGTACCTCAACATTCAAAACGCGTCTGTGAAAATGTAATGTAGAGAAAAGAACGAACAAGATCGATACGTGTTTATCGTTTCGCAACTCTTAGTTCTCTTGGCTAAGATAAAAATGGCAACTGCCAATTTTCACATCAAATTACTACAGGCTTATCTTTATCATTTAGAAACAAAGTTCGCGAAAATCATTTTCATGATCATTTAGATCTTTGTAAACACTCGGGTATGAACTTAAAATAACAAGCCAGTTGAGGCATATTTTGCGAATAGCCAAACAAGTTGTAACTGTTAAGATCTTTGATGCCTGCAGCGGAGATCAAGGGGTCGGTTTCATAATCTTCAATCACACAGCAGCTTCATAAAGCGAAATAAACATCAAACTGAAAGTACGGAAATACCTCTTGTGCGCCAAATCATCTCGTAGAGAGTGATGGATTCTGCAAAATCAAATATTATGTCTGGAAGTGATCTTAAGATGTCCTCTGTGTACCCCATTTTATCATTAACATTTTCCATTTGTTATGATGGAGAGTGTTAATTGATACTAAAAATAAATCACGACTGAAACTGCGATTTCACAGGGCCAGGATAAAAAATGTTTATTGAATTATAAACTGCGAAATACGAGTCCCCGTTCGGCACATTCCGTTATGCGCCGGAGATAATCGAAAGCGCACATTACTCCCGTCCATCAACGTTAATTGTCGTTATCAAACATGAGCTTTAAATTTTGGAGCACAAACGCACAAATTAACAACTCCAGCCACGAATTAACAATCCCAACGTAGAATTACTTGCCACAAGCTTGACGTTTCATAGCACATACAATTTGGCCAACTTGCAACCGGGTCTTGCTGTATACCAAGGCCCCCTATGGGTTCTTATCATACGACAGCGATGAGTTCTCGACAACCTTCGTCACATACGGAACATACCGGATAACCGGATAAACGGTTTGTGTAATGAAACGCTATGGTTGTGGCAAGTACTTCTACGTTAATTCGCGGCTGGAGTCGTTAATTTGGGTATTTGTGCTCACGAATCTGAGGCTCGTTTTAGATAACGCCTTATCCGTTTATAAGGTCTGTACAACAAGTGTATAAATAGTATTTGCGAACACATCATGTTTACAAGCACAAACCCTTGGGTCCAATCAACAAATATCGTTTATGAGACATTCCTTTTTACCAAATGAGCGCCATGAAATTGGGACAAAAGCTTTGTGCTTTGAAATGAAGATCATCCGTTTTGATGACGGCTGCGCCGCTGTTCACAAGTCTTTTGAAGCAAAAAAGCTTTCAATCAAAAGAATGTATTTCATTTCCGAAAATTTGATCAAAGAAACAGATTGACTTGACATAGAGCATTGTTCTTAACGCTTGTATGATTAAACGCCTGATTCTTTATTAAACGCATCTACGGGTTTTCTAGGACTTTCAGTCTTCTTTTAAGCCATAATAAGCTTTCTTTATTCGTAGTTTGGTCGGCGCAATTTCAACAAGACTTCCGTGTATTTAGAATTTATTAAATGCCATCGTGAAATTATTTTGTAAGGGTTCAGGCATTAGCGCAAACATAACTTGTAGCGTAATACTTCAAAGCATGAAGTCTTTTGGTAGCGGCGGTTTACGAGGTACTCTGAACTTCAGAGTTCGACACTAGCATCCTTACCACACAAAAAACGTTCAATTTTTTGTTTTCGCAAATTATTTCGCAAATTGTCATCAATTATTTAATAAATATTATTGAACAAGGGCGATCCAATGTGTTATGACTTAAAGGTATTGTTATTGTAATTTCATACCAAAATTGAGACTTTCGTACATACAACTATGATCAGCTTTTATTGTACTATAAACATGCATATACAGTGTTCTCTCTCCTCAATGCATTTACCAATGTTCCAGCAGTCTATTAAATTTTAATCTGAACCCCTTAAATATCACTTCAATTGTTCAAATAGGAGATCAACTCCTGTTATACTGACACAAGGTCAACATAAATTTCAAAAGTCGGACATACTTACTACCTCAACTCATTCAGCCTCTCTGTAACAAATCTTTTACATGTATGTTATGGCGCCAACAGCTCAGTAAAATGATTATGAATGATTCATTACTAAATTGCTGTAGAAAATGTCAAGCTGAGTATTTAAAACATTATACATTACATCAACACTTTGAAGCATCTAAATATTTAGAGGTTATAAAAGTAAAGACATGTAAATGCAGGTACATATACATGCAAGGATATATTTTTTCTAAGGGCAGCATATGAGCATGTACTGATACCAGTACGACAATACAACTCAGTTAATTCAAATAACTTCAATTCAATGTGTTTATACACTGGAATGAAACAAAAAGGAACAAGGTTTTAAACAGTGATATCAAATTTACTTCTAGAAACATAATACTGTTCTTTGTGAAGTAACAACATGTAATCTATGACCTTAGACTTACACGCGCAATAGGCCGAAATGCACTGCTCCGAATGTCTATCTTGGATCTTCTATGCGGAAACAGTCACTTGTAATTACAAGAAGGATTAAAATCAATACAACTGCAATATTACATAAGTACAAAATAAGTTGGTGAGTGACATCTTGCCACAGTTAAAGTTGCAACTCGGTGATAAGCTTATTGGATTCCGAACATTTGCTGTAATATTTGAGATTACTATCATTCTCTGAATGACAAACATTTGTTTGAAAATGCACTGAGTTGCTAAATAAATGTATATTTTCTTGAAAAGATGCAAAAAAAAAAATTTAAGCACTACAAAATGTCTAGAATAAACAATAAAAAATTATACATCTGTATTTCAGGAGAATAAAATAAAACCAAAACAAACATTTCTAGTAAAGTACCTCTTAGTACATATTAGAGTTTTGTTACATTTGTAGCAGAAATGCTTTTACTAAATTCTCTATAATAAAAAGTCACTGTCACAAAAGAAGAATGCACATCTCACAACAGCCATGCATTTACATCCACTTCAACAGTATAAATACAACTCATTATGGCAAGAATTTGTCCATTATAATTGATCACTTTTCAGACTGGCTTTTTCTACAAGAGTCACAAGTTCATCGTCATCAGATATGGAGTCTGACTCATCACAGTAGAGACTGCGCGGGGAGCTGCGACATCCCCTGGCAATGTAGCTCTGGAGTTTTCCCACGGAGGCCAGCAGGAGGCCTAAATATGGCGGCGATGGCTTGAGAGGGCGAGAGATATACTCTGGGTGGTACTGAACCGCCACGAAGTAAGGATGATCTACAAAATAAGCATTAATATCAATATTTATTCAACAATAAAAATCTGCTTAAAACAACATTTTTTCTTAATGTGCTTTTCCAACTATGAGGCACAATGTTTAGACCATTTACGGAATTCCCCTCTTGATCAGTCCATGTGAATTCCAGGGGTAAAGCCTCATAGGTAGAAAAAAACTACCTAGTACATCTAAATCTACATCTATGTAGTATTTTCAGAAAAAAAAACTTTTTTCACTATTAATACACAAATGACAAAGAATAATCATATTTCACAGAATAACAATATGATAATGTGTAGCAGTGAAATGTTTGAAATGTCATTATTGAACTGTGGTAATGACTTTCACTTAATATGCAAATCTTAACACGTTCTATTACCTGAATAACAGGATTGACAATAAGAAAACTTTTTTTTTGCCTTAGCACCGTGCGACAGCTTAATCAAACTTTAAGATATTTATTAAGGGAACTATATTTCCAAGGCAAGATCTGAGGCATTTGTTGTTTTAGAGATGACAGACATAAGTGGTTTTAGAGATGACAGAGTATTTTTTAAAGTCACATAATTTGAATTAATTTCAGGATGTACCAAAGAAACATAAAAATGTGGTCTACATACACATTTTGTAACCATGCACTGTTTCTATCAAACATATCTTGTCAACATTAAATGAATGATGTCCATTCACCTTTCAAATAAAAAAAAAAGTATTGCCAGAGCATCACTACCTTCCTTGAAGCAAATGACCACTTGGTACCTTATTTGAAAGAAAAAAAAAAAAAAAAAAAAAAAAAAAGGAGGGATGACCCCCTCTGGAGAATACAGCTAATTCTTCTCAGAACATCATACACAAAGCCTTACAAAAATGACAAAGCGGAACTTCAAGTGGTCCTCCCGACAATAACTGGTGATCAAACAAAGGAAACTGAAAACCCTGACAACAGAAGGATTGCTTACAATGTCAGAAACAGCCTTAGAACTTGGGAGGCTACAATAACTGTCAAATAACACTGAAGCTGGAAAGATACAAGGCTTATATGTCATGATACGGGTTTCAAGCAATATTTCTTGTTCTAAAATACGGACAACATGGGAAATTCTCTCTTGATATATGCTCAATAAAACACTTTTATTTTCCTTTGTGGTAATGAGCATACATCAAACGCAAGTCCACTGCCTATTCCAAAGGAAATTATTTTTCTCAAAGAGGAACAATATCCTTTACCACTTTCCAGAAGTGGTCATGAATTGGAGATCTCCCACGAACCATTGATCATTCTGCTCTTCTTTATTAGGGTAACAAATTAAGTGACCAGTCAAATGAAATCAAAGCTCACAGTGGTAAAGGCCAAATCCATACTACTGCAAAAATATAAACACCGGTTTGACCTTTTTCCTACTTTATCATTCATTTTATTAATAAACCAACCAGTGCAATGGATCCCATTTTTCCTCTTTGAGTTTACCTAATTTGAACTTACTCCTACAATTATTCATATGCTTTTTTTCAATGAATCAAATCATCCTTGATGGTAAGCAGACAAAGCATTTGGCTGATCGGTGTTTTTCTTAAGACTTTGAAAAATAATTTCTATTATACTTTTTCTCTTTGTTTAAAACCAGTTTGTAGCTTAACTGAAGTTTATACTTAAGAAAAATCAAAATACTCAGAAAAAAATTAACTGTTGTTACAATTATAGCTAGCACAAACTTCAGAATGCTTGATAAGATGCTGTATATACAATATCATCTTAAAATCAGACTGTGTGACATTATACAAGACTAGAAAATATGCAAGAAACCATGTGGGGCTTACCTTTTAACAATAAGGATGAAACTACGCACAGAGAAGGTCATTTCAAAACTCAAAATTAACATGCTTAACGACGTGAATCAGTAATGCTGTGCAAGAGATGTAATTCTACAGATTCCTAAAAGCAAACAACCAGAAAAAAAATTCCCATGGATAAATCATATTCCTTGATGCACCACACTGTCTCATCTGCCATTATTTCTGACCCCACTCCCCTCCTAATCCTGCAAAAATCATGCTTGATTTTACATCAGTACACGAGACTTTGGGCTGCTTTAAATTATTCACAATGCAGAGGCCAAAAAATATTTAAGTTACACTTTATTTCTGGACAACTTAGCAATCATTGCAATGACTTATTTATACCCATTGATTGACAGTACACTTATTTTGACGAGCAGTTACTTTAAAAGGCGTCTTTATAAAAAATTACTAAGCACTTAGTGTACTGCCATCTGTTTCCATTCCCTCATCAGATTCTATATAAAAACACCTGTAACCACACACACACACACAAAAAAATCTGCACAAAAAGGTCAGGCATGAATATCTGTTAGGAAGCTACACCTTAACAACCAAGCAGCAAGGGTCATTACCACTAGGACTGAAAAGAAAAATCACCAAGATATCTGGGATGCTAGGAGTTGGAACCATTACGGTGGCTTCAATTTACATTTCTAATCTAGATTGTCTGGTGACGATGAGCGCAGGAATCATGAGCCACCTGCCAAGCAGAAGCCCTGACAATGGTGGGTGTAAGTAATTAACTGAGTGTGAAAAAACACAGCACACCATTCCTGTTTTCTGGGAATGGTATTACCATAATTTCGTGTAAAAAAAATGTGCAAAGGGTTTTAGTCATGCTGCAGGTCAATTTAGAAAGATGCAAACTGCATTATGTTGCAGTTAATAATTGCGCTTCATGATCCATTTCATATTTTTTCCTTCATCGCGGAAAACAAAAAGCTCAACTGACACTTTGGTGAGAATTCAGATGTCAACATCTACCATATCAGTAGATGGGTTACAAGCTCTTCTATCCCTGCATGGCTGCTCTTTCTCTTTGCTCCAAAGAGCAGAACTTACTGATTCTTAACACCACTTCCCAATGCAATTTAACACGAACAACAATTTAAGGCAGAGGACTCATTCCAATAGAAACCATCGGTCTACTTGGATCGATCTAACTCCAAGGGGACTCTTGCTGAATGCAATCAGTTTAACAGATTACCAAGCCTCTTCCTGGGGTTGAGAAGAATACAGAAAAGCTGGTGTTTAGGAGTATGTTGAGTATGTATGTTGAAAACAAGGGTTCAATAGTAACTATAGGTGTATCTCTGCCAGTTTTGGATACATAAGGGTAAAAAAATTTGCAAAGTACAGTGTATGGTGAAAAGTAGATCTAAGGTCAAATTTTAGGCAACAGTAAGACTTCCTATTCAAGTTCAATAGTAACTATGGGTGTATCTCAACTTAATTTGGAATATTTCACATTTTATTTTCATGACTGAGCATTGCAACATTGTACTTTATGAAATAGTGCAACTCCTAAACTGTATGAAAAAAAAAGACACCATTCTCAGTGTTGAGCTTGACAAAATCCACAAAATGCAACAAAGGAGATCACTAGTTTTTACAGTTCCAGAATTAGGTTCAATATGTAATGGCTTCTTCTCCTGTGATTTTGCACTGACTGACCCCAAACCCAAATGTAATGCCTCATCATAATATACAAGGTTAAGTTTTTAGTAGTTTCTAAAAATTGACACAAACAATTTTTTTTTGCAAAAAATCTTAATTTTTACTAAATTTTGTCTCATTTTACCTTAAAATAAAGCATTAAAAATTCAAAAATTTCGACAAGGATGCACTGCAACAAGTGTCACACCTAGGGAAATGCACTGACAGAGCTCAAAACCTAAGGGGTTCAAGTTGAGATAATATGTGACCTAATTCCAAGAGACGGGGTGTGGGGGGGG